TGGCCGCTGCCGCTGGCTTCTGCGGGCGGTCGCCTCTTGCCCCCCACCCCGCTGATGCCCACTAATTGTGCCCCCCCAGTCTCGGGAGGCACCAGTCATTCATGGATCAGAATGAAAATGATATATAGAGTCAGGAACCATGTCATCTATGTTGTGGCTGGTCACTAAGCATAGAACCAGCATTGCTACCACCTGGTTACAAATCTACTTAAAAACCTGCCCCTTTGAGCCTTTTATAGCTGTGCATACCAAGACATAGCAGTGGGTTATATTTGGCACCTCGTGTTCATGTCTGTAAACTACAGAAACACAACTACGGTTACTCACGTTTTCATGGTTTTGTGCACTTCTGAACATGCTTAAATGCATATGCTGTTGCAGACAATCTTAGAAATTGAAAGACTGTGTGTCTGTAAATACACCTATATTTAATAAGGCACACAGCAAAACATGTCAGCTGAAAGCATGAGAGCCTGATTCCTTTAAGCCACTCACGGGGATGCCTGAGTGGTAATAGACTATTTATTTCTGGTATATTAGGTTGAGACATAACAGCTTTAAATAGGTTGGGCATTGGGGAGTTCATAGGAACACAAAACAACATCCTCAGCCCTGGATACATTATTTTCCTCTTGGTCCACATCGTATCTTACAGCATCTGTTTGTAATGATCATAAGCAGCAGCCTTTTCAAGTGTGAAAAAAATTATAACTAGATTCCCCCTCCCCCCCCAGCCAGTCCTTGGCAGTGATTACACGGTTACAATACAAGCACATTTATTATTATTGCTATCATTTACAGATATTTACATGCCTCAAACAGCACAGTGTATCCAAGTAGTCCAGTCAGGGGTTGGTTCTGTGCAGTCCCCCACCTGAAGGGCATGAAGGGCAGAATTAGCGATCCATAGACAATGTGTTAGAGGAGGAGGCCAGGAGCATTCCTCCTCAGCAATAGTACCTGATAACTCAGTTCTGGCCCACAGGCAAGAAAGAGCTTCTGTCATCATCCTCCCACCTGGGAACAATTAAAGTTATTTCCTGGTGGGGTCTGGCTTTCTTTCTCAATCCTTGTAAGGGGAAAATGGAGGCTTGTCTTCATCTGTCATGGCCTCTTTTTCTCTCCCTCTCTATTGAGGAGGCATTTTTCTCTTGTGGAGGCAAATTGTTAGCAGTTTTCACTGTTTCCTTAATGGAAACTCTGCACAGAGTGGTCAAGTTAATCTGAGGTTCACCATGAACTTTCCTTTCTTTTAACCCTTTTTTTCTTTAATGGTTTATTCCTGTTGATTCCTGATGTTCTTGTGATCATTTGCTCTATTCTTATCAAGAGTTGCACTCATTACGAAGAGTTATCAGTCTAAGCCTGTTTTTCTGTTGTGCAGCTCATGCAGCTTTGCTCTCAAGATAAACACATGGAACTATAGTAAAATGGCCTGAAGGATCCCACTGTACCTTTGGGAATAGACGGAGTCACTTTAGTGCCCTTCTTCCATATATTTCCAGTTTGGTATAATATGCCATCCCACAGGATCTTAATTCTTGAGTACAGCAAAAGAGCAGAAACATAAAGGTGAAACAAAGGAATACAGAGGTTAGAGCAATATGCATCCACTATAGTGTTGGCTTTCATTCTTGGGCTACTGATATTGTGCAGGAGGTAGTACATGTCTTGCAGCATCAGATCCCCTTGCTCTCTTCTAGTAGATGGCAGTGATTCCAAGAGGCTCTGCAGTGCTTTCCAGCTTCACTTTAGAGCCAAGAAGTAGTCAGTCATGGCAGAGAGAGGAAATAAATGAAAGCCCCTCTTCAGTGAGGTGGGTTGATAGTTGTCTGAGCAGAGCAATGCACAGCCAACTAAGGGACTCAAGTTCTGAACTCAACCTGGAACCTTTAACTTCTGGTGCAGGGGAGAAGAAGACTGGAGCTCTTCTAAGTGTTGTGTGCTCTTTCTTCCCACTGAGTGGCTGGGTAAAGAACTGCTGCAGATTGTTCATCCTTTCTGTCACAAAGCAGAGACAGAGAAGTGTTGGGGCAGCTGTAATGAGAAAGGCTCCGTGTGTACATCTGCAAAATGTGAAAGAGGAACATGGGCAGAGAGGCTCCCTAGAGTGACAGTACAGCACTGAAAAAAATTACTAGCTGGCAGTACGTGCACCAGATGAAGGGACTGTTGCTTACAAGATGCAACTCCACAAAGTACACAGTTGGGAGGAAAGGAGCTAGGATCATTTTACCAGGTTGTTTCCTCACACCCTATTTATGAGGCAGCATTGCTTGGAGGTACCTGATAAATTTGTCCCCCTCTTTAGCTAGTGGAAGGGACAGAAAGTGCTTTGGCTATTATCTTACTGCTCCAGAATCCTCTAGCTGTTGCAATAGGTAAGTGTCTGATACATCTTGCCTAGTTTCCTAGCTGCTGCAAGGAGGAAGAGAGGAAGTAGGTTTCCCACAATCTCTTTCTTCTCCCTGCTGAATGACTCCAGTGGAATCTCTCTTTTATTCCATTAACAGCTTTCCCAAGAACCGTAAAATTGACAAAATTCCTGACATTTACACTGCTGCCCACCAGTTTCTGAAAGAGGAGTGGATCCCGCCTGCCCAGCTATCCAATAGAGCTCTAAGAAGCAATAGTGCACACATTCATGTTGCCTCTCTCCAGACTGGTTTGAATTCTGCTGGTTTACCTTCACAACCAGAAAGACAGAGATTCTAATATCAAGTTGACTTTGTGCATCTGCTTAATTAGGGGACCAAATTATGCCAACTAGTTAGTACTGGTTAGTACCAGTTGGCCTAATTTGTAGGGCTGTGTGAAATTTGGCTGCCAGTTTTGTTTCAACGCTGTTTTGATCCGTTTCAAGGTCAAAACAGCAAAATCAAAATGAACAGATGGAGTTGAAACAGCCTTAAAACAAAACGAGGCAAGTCGCAACATTTTGCTGTTTTGATGCTTTGCCCATAGGCTATAATGGGGAAAGTTTAAACAGCCTACAACTTTGTCATTTCTGGCCTGATGTGGATGACACTTGCAGGAATGGTAGCCCTGTCTGAGGGCATGAAGCCTGTCAAGTTTCAAGGACATAGGTGCACGGGGTTCGGGGAAACTGCACCCCAAAGTTTTGAAAGCAAAACTTGTGCCATGTGTACGTGTTAAGCCACAGTGGGGTCAAAACTGCAGGCATGCTAGCCCCTGTGGAGGCCACAAAGTCTGTTAAGTTTCAAGGAGCTCAGCTGTGTATTGAGCTGGTCCCTGAGTGAATCATGATTGATTGCGTAACACAGTAGCTAGCTAGGATAACGAGTTAATGAGCAAGAATTAACACCTAGGAAACCACAGACTAAGGAGAGGAAAGAATCAGTACAGAGCCGGAAACAGCTTCTGCCCAAAGACAGACACAGTCAGTTGCACAAGCACCCATGTCACGAGTTTTGCCTGTCAGCAGCTAGAGGTGCAGGGCCCCAGATCCCCCCTACACCTATCTCCTTAACAGCTGGCAGGCTTTGTGGCTGCATCAGGGCCTACCAGCACAGCCTGCAGTAGTTTCCCCACCCCCTGTGCCCCAAGACAGACATGGTTGCACAAGCAACCATGACATGAGTTTTGCCTGTCAGCAGCTAGAGGTGCAGGGCCCCAGAACCCAGACGCCCCTGCACCTATCTCCTTGACAGCTGGCAGGCTTTGTGGCCGCAACAGAGGCTAGCAGGCTTGCAGCTTTCACCCTGCTGTGCCTGAACACACAGTGTCACCCATGTCACAGCTGTTTCAAATTGAAACAAAACGCTGGTCGAAATGGAACACTGCCATTTCGCACAGCCCTAATTGGTACCTAATTAAGCAGACTCAAAGTCAACTTGATATTAGAGTCTTTTTCTGGTTGTGAAGTTAAACCAGCAGACTTCGAACCAGTCTGGAGAGGGGACTTGAGACATCAGCTTAATCAGGAAGCTACAACTGCTTAGTTGAGATTGCAGTTGCACATAAGAGCCTTGGGACATACATGTTATGAAAGCAGAAATACCAGGAATTATGAATACTACACATGCAGAACTGAGCAGTGGGAGGTTGCTGATGCACCCACTGATATCACTTATAGAGCTGTCTTTGGTTAATCTAGTATCTGATCCTGTGCTATTAATCCCAGAAATTGGCCAGGTCTGTATTTGCCACCAAATATCTCTGCTTTCACTAGAAAATTGTTGTATAAAGCATCAGGGAACATATCAATTATTCACCCAGCTGGAGTCAGCACAGCTACAAATAGTACTTTCTTCCCTCTGCCTCCCTTTTCTTTATTTTTCCCTTTCCCTTCCCCTTCCTTTCCTTTCCTTTTTTTAACAACAGACTGGTAAGATCATAATGTTGTCAGTACTTTAGTTTATAATTATCCTATAATAATACATATGTACCATATACTTTTGCATTTGAAATTTCATATTTGTAAATGGTGCCATATGGCAGGTATCTGGAAAGCAGCTTATATCAAGAAGTTGTACACTGGGACATCTTCTTAAGGAACGTATCTCTATAACAACATTGCAAAGTGCAATTCTGCTTTGAAAAGTCTCTCTCCAAAAATGACACTATGAGATTCCTTGTTTATAGTCTGTTGGTGAATTCCATGTGCAATGTGCTCAATTAAAAGTGTTGTATTTTGTAGTTGTAGCCTTGTAGATATCACCTGGGCTCTCAGTGTTCAGAACATTTTTTTTCTTCTTGTGCGTTTTTGCCAGTAATCAACAGTAACAAAGATTTTGGCCATGAAACGTGTCCCAAGCAATCCTTGTTCTAGTCCATTTCTTTCCAGGGCCTTTCACTGGTGAATTTAGATCTTGCCTACTCATCACTTTAACTGGTTTGTTTGTTTAAATTAAATCAGTGAAATCTGTGCAATCTCTACATATAGACTAGCCCTCATTAAATAAGTTTGCTAGTGAAGCATGAGCTATGATAGACTACAGTTCACAGTTCCTTAACTGAGCTGGTCTGGAGGGCAAACAGGTGCAAAAAAAGTGCTGTTTTGTCACTGAAGTCTGCAGATGCAGTTTTAAATCAACACAAAAGGAGTAGCACTGCCTTTTTCTTATCTAGTCACTTTTCAGAATAGGTCTACATTTTTGGGTACAGAGGAATGGGCATGAGATCCTCTGAAAGAAAAACAGGTTTGTGGCATATCAGTCAGTGGGTGATGGGTTCTCAGACCTTGCCCATCAGGGAGATCTTGGCAGAGAACTGAATTATATGACTGGACAGATGAATAAGGTGTAAACATTGTTTATAATTGCTCTCCTTACTCCCCTGCCCCTATTACAGGTAGGCAAATGTAGCTTTGATTGGGCTCTTTTCCTGTGCATTGGTGAAAACAAATTCTCTGGTTAGCAAGCAACTCCTTTTGAGAACAACCCCTGGTCTATACTGCTGTACACAGTTCACTCTCCTATTTATCTCTGCCTGGTTCAGCTCATTTTTGTGGCATTCAGCCCTGTGTCGGGAGATCGTCTATTTCAAGAAGCTTTATTTTATGCTGATACTTATTGCTCCCTGGCTTGTCTGCTGCCCTAAAAGAGGAGGAAGAATGAACCTCCAAAGCCTGGTTGACCAGGATCTGCACTGGCTTGCCTTCCCATCTGTGCCCCAGTTTCATGGGGTTCAGTGGGGAAGGCTGAGACCCCTCTAAGCAATCAGGAGAGAGAGATTGAAAGTAGTGTCCAAAGCAAAGTGCTTCTCTAGTGTGGGGAGAGGCTAATCCTGCTGATGGGGAGCCAGCCTCCTTGTGCAGGTGGGGGAGAAGGGGTCCTGCCCCCACCCCCCCTCCAGAGGAAAGAGGCTCATTCATTCATTGGAGGAGAATGGCTCCCCTTTCCCGATGCCATGCTTGGACTGGTGGCGGACAAGGTGTGTGGACTGGGTGAAGGCCTTGCTGCACTGGGGGCATCTGTAGGGCCTCTCGCCCGTGTGCACCCGTGCATGCTGGGTAAGCTGGGAGGCATGCCGGAAGGCCTTGCCACAGTCTGAGCACAGGTAGGTTTTCTCCCCGCTATGGATTTGCTGGTGCCGCTTGAGAGTGGAGGAGCGGGCGAAGGCCTGGCCACACTGGGCACAGGAAAAGGGACGCTCCCCAGTATGGATGCGCTGGTGGCGGATGAGGCGGGAGGACTGGGCAAAGGCCATGCCACACTCAGAGCACTTGAAAGGACGCTGGCCTGTGTGCAGCGTCTGGTGCTCAAAGAGATTGGAGGACTTGGTGAAGGCCTTGCCGCAGACAGAGCAGGAGAAGGGGCGCTCACCAGTGTGGACCCGCTGGTGCTCCACCATGCGACTGGCCACAGCGAACTCCTTGCCACAGTCAGGGCATGGGAAGGGTTTCTCACCCAGGTGGGTGCGCTGGTGGCGCAGCAGGGACAGTGGCTTGTTGAAGGTCTTGCCACAGTCTGGGCAGGGGAAGGGCTTGTCATTGCTGTGCATGTTGCGCTGGTGCTTGCGCAGGTCGGAAGAGCGCACAAAGGCCTTCTCACAGTCCAGGCACTGGTAGGGCTTCTCACCTGTGTGCGTGCGGATGTGCTTGCGGTAGTCTGAGGACCAGGTGTAGGCTTTGATGCAGAAGGGGCACTTGTAGGGGCGCTCACCTGTGTGCAGCCGCCGGTGCTGCTGCAGAGTGCCCTGGTGGGAGTAGGCCTTGCCACACAGCTCGCAGGCATATGGCTTGGCCCCACTGTGGGTATCGATGTGGCTCAGCAGGTTGCTGGATTTCTTAAAGGCCCGCCCACATTGCACACACTTGTAAGGCCGCTCATCTGCCTCGCTGCCTGTCACTTGGGTTGCTATCCGGATCCGCCTCACCGTAGCTGTCTTCAGGGCCCCGACACTGCCTGCCACCTCGCCCAGCTTTTTGGTGGCTTTCAGGGGCAGCCGCTTCACTGCTCTCCTGCCTTTCAGGGAAAGGTCTTTGCTGCCCCCCGGCTTGCTGGAGTCCACACCCAGGTTTCCTGGGAATGCCCCTGCCTCGGCTTTCCTGGGTGTGTAGGTCTGAACGTTTTCTGTGCCATTGCACAGGCTGTCCCCAGAAGGGTCAAAGTCACTGTCTAGGGTAACTACAGTATCCACGTAGTCTCCAGAGCTTGGCAGCCTCCTGCTGAAGTGCTGGATGCCTTTGCTCATTGGCCTGCTAGGCCACTTCTGGTACGGTGTCTCCTTACCAGTTTGCTCGCCATCCTCCTCACTCTGGGTGCAAAGACTGACCTTCATGTTCAGCTGCTTGGCCACGCCATTGGCATTGATGAGTGTGAAAGTCTCATAGAAGACTTCATCTTCCTTGCACAACAGGTCCTCTGGCATGTTTTCTCCAAGTGCAGAGCTGCTAGACACAAAATCTAGTCTTTCACAGTCCTCCTGCAAGCCATCCCCAAAATAGCCACTGAAGCTTTCCTCAGCTTCTTCATCCTCCTCACTACCTTCATCCTCATTTCCATGTGGCAGGTGCATGCTCCTCTTCCTGTCCTCATAGGATCCCTGAGCCAAACTGCTGCAAGGGTATTCCTCATCTGGTCTTTCAGAGCACTCTATACTTGTCATGGTCCACAGCTACTTCAGAATATCAACTTTCAGGATGCTTCAGCCTGAGGCTGCTCTCAAGATAAGTTACCTGCATTTTGAACAAGAGAGGAATGAACAGCAGGTAGGAATGTTTTCGAAGAAGAGCGAGCATCTAGGCATTATTGCTACACTGTCACTCAAGGGGACTAATTGGGCCTGGAGTTTACTGTGGTAGGCACTAAACAAAGAGGGGTGGCATTATGATTGCCCCAAGGAGTGGGTTAGAGCTGAAATTGGATAAAATGACAGACAAGCCACTTGCCAGGAGTTATCCTAGCTACACAGCTAGGTAGGATTTCTTAATTTCCTACTTATTATCTTCACTTTTTTCTTAGACATTGTCTACTCAGTGGACACACCTACACAATCATTAATGTGCTGTGGTTACTGAGCATTTAATTTACAACCTGTAATAACAGGCACTAACTGAATGCGCAGTAACTGGTGCTACGGCTTTTTTGAGACGCTACTGCGCAGTAGACTAATTCTGCGGCACATTTATGCATTAGCACAGCTTTTGCCATGACACACTAATCCACAGTAGAATTAGTCTGCGCATTTAACATCTCAGGTAGATGCACCCAGTGTTACTGACCTTGGTTTGAGTCAGGGCTTTGTTGCTTTAATTCTGAAGTTGGGCAAAAGGCAGGGCAGTGTGACTCCTTATAGCAGGGGTGGGCAAAATGTGGCCTGGGGGTCAGATGCGGCCCGCCAGGCCATTCTATCCAGCCTGCAGGGCCCCTAAAAAATTTAGAAAATTAACATTAATCTGCCCTGGGCTGCCTGTCATGCGGCCCTCAATGGCTTCCCGCAACTCAGTAAGCGGCCCTCTGCCCAAAATATTTGCCCGCCCCTGCCTTATAGACTACCTTGTTCAGAGACCCATGAGATATAAAAATAGGCTACAGCCTACTTTATCAGATGCTATGAATGGACATGCAGAGACCAGGGGTACTAATTAGAAAGGAAGAAGGTCATTTAAATAGAAATATTTATTTATTGCCCCTGCTCTCTGCAAGCCCATTCATGAAAGCTCATGTCTCTCTGAACAAGTTAGTCTTTAAGGTACCATATTGCCCTACCTTTTTCTTTCACATTTTATAGTTTAAGACCATTGCCTATTTTCTGTGTTTTTACAATATGTCTACCAGTATTTGCCTACTCTTTAAATATAGGAGCACCAGGAACTAAACTGCAGATGCTCTTAATTATGTTGCTGCATTATGATACTGAAAATCAAGCCACTATTACTCTTGCTTATCAAGGAGCTAACCTGGCAGACTGCGCGTTAAGGAACCACATCTTCTCTTTTTTGGAGAAGGTCTGACATGGGAGGACTAGGGATCAAACAGGAGTCTTCCTGTGTTATGGAGAGTCAGATACTGTGATGACAAGATACTGATGGGCTGCCTGCCAATTCCAATTTTTCTTTTACAAATAAAAACAGTAATTGGGCAAGAGATCAGAGCAGTGTGTCTTGGAACCTCAGGAGCTCTCAATTTGCCACTTTTGCATGCTAGAATTTCTCCTCCCCTGTCTTAGTGCAAAATGCAGGTGAAAAATGGACTGCAGAATAGGCTGTTCAAGCTGCCTGCCTACTTGAATTCTGTGGGGTTTTAATTACTCTGCAACCTGAATATGCAATGCCTCTAGCTCAGTGTTTCTCAATTGGGTGCCAAAGCATGCCAGGGTGGCTTGAGATCCTTTCAAGGGTGCTGCAGTGTCACGCAATGTTAACACTGCTAGGTGTGCAAACATGATTGACAAGACAAAGCCAACATTTTCAAGTAGAAATCCATAGTGTTCAAAACATGATGCTCTGTTGTGATCTTTTTGAGTCCATGGCAACAGAAGAATTGCTCTAGTATTTTTCTGTAGTCAAAAAAAAAGAGTGAAAACTAAGACCTGGCATTTTCCTACGGATGCCTCAAATCTATTGAGGGATGGCTCAAGTCTAAAAAAGGTCGAAAATGACTGCTGTAGCTGGAGGCAGAATCTGTAATGGAATAAGTTCCTGAGACACAAATTGTACACTGCTGCCGGGGAGGGTGTAAGGAAGGACTGAGGAACTCAGCCATTTGAGAATCTATGCTTTCATGAAGCTCGCAATTTATTTGCAAGAGATCATGCATATGATTTGGGACTCTGCAGTTAGAGCACCAGGTGCAATGGCACACAGCAGTGTTGAAATAGTGAGATATTAAGCCCCCAGTACTGTACAGTGATATTAAAAATATGGCTTGGCTGACGCAAATGAGCAATCTGTCCTGCCGGTGGCAAAAGTATACCTGAACTGTGGAGGAATGGCAAAGAAATGCTACTCCCCACTGACAGTGGCAAGTACAGAAAATTCCTCCTCTGAGATGCAAGCAACCCAAAGATGCTGATATTATTAAAGTGTCAACAAAAATAGCCCCCCTCACTTCTCTCTTTTGAATTTCAGTGCCCCAGAGTTTCCTCATTTACTGGGACTTTTTATAGTCAATTGGCAACAACTCCAGCAATTTTAATAGAGCTCCTTAAATCTCCACTACTTTCAGGGATCTGTGAAACTCTGGGCAATTCTGAACAAGTTCTATCAGTACCTATGATAAACTAGGCCAGGAGGGAGAACAGGTTGCTCAGGTCCCTGCATCCCCCAGGTGCAGGGGGATGGAAGAGAATAGAGACCTGCACAGAAACTTGAAGACGCTCATTTACAGAGTAAAGATGACCCTGCTGTCCTGATCCCCAGCAGCCTGGAAAAACAGATTGAGGCTCCAACACAATATGTGGACTGCCTGACTGCAGCAAGTACCAGATGCCAGGCCTGGAGGGCCCAGCTGCCTCCAGCCTGCCCCTCTTTGGGATTTTTTTTAAATAGCTCCCACTTCTCTCTCCCTATTGCTTTCAGGGCTTCCTCTCCCCCTTTCCCACTGAGCCCAGGTTTAGATGCAATGACTTACCTTGATATTTGAGTACAGGAGTATGGGCTGTCCCAGCCAGCTGGCCCCGTGGGGTTGACTGCTCCAGCTTACAAATGAGGAAAGGAAGGGAGTTTGGTGCATAGCAGCACTAGCAAATGTGCCTGTGTCTGTCTCACCCTTTTGTGTCCAGTCTAGCAGCTGCAGAGCCTCAGGAGGTGGGGCCTGTTCAATATACACAACCTTCCTGCCTGCATCACAGAGAGCAGCCTGGGAAATACAGCAGGGCTGCCCTGTCTCAGTGCCTGAGCTATTCTTCCAGTTTACTCTTCCTCCTCCCCTCATACATTCTAGGGATGGACAAGACCAAAGTAGCCTAATAGATCACCGCACTCTGAAAGCAGGATTGGTCCTTACAGGAGTAGCTGCACTCAGTTTGTCCACTATGAATTTTAAATGTGGTTTCCACTTCTGCTAGATTAGCCCACCCCCTGTCTGAAAGCTCTTCCTGATAATCAGCTTAGATGCTCCTATAATGATTTCATCCCATTTCTTTGTTATGCTTAGTTGCATTATACTAAATAATTTCTCTTCTTTCTTGATACATATTTTAGATATTGAAGCATCCCCGATTTGTTTGGTCATTGGCTATAGTATACCCCAGTACCTCCAGCCAGATCATTGCAGTGTGTGTTTCCAGATTTGTTTGTTTGTTTTTTGAGGGGGTTGATGTCCAATCCTATAGATCTGTATTTTCTCACTCCTCCTCCTTACTGCTTCTGTCACACATGCTACTTAGCTTTCTGTCTATTGCAGCAGCAAGCTTTTTCTCTTGTTTATAGGAATTAAATAGTTTTACCCTTTGTTTAAAAGCTCTGGAGCCTTCTGCTTCCAAAACTTTCCCTCTCTAAATATGCCACTTTGTACTCATTCCTTCCAGGGAGGAGAGACACTGTGACCACAGCTTCTTTTCAAGGGGTTAATGCCAGATAATACGGTTTGCCTTCAATCTAAATTATAGCCATGAAACTCCCTTCCATTCCTTGTTTCAAAAATACTTAACTTGCTCTCTAAAGAGGTCCACTGGTAGCACTGGATATGGGACTGGCTATGGATCCTGGTCCCTTTCACTTCCAAAACACAGATCAGATATGGCCCATTTTGGTATACATTGAAATTATATATCATCCAATGGATGTCCAGTGACCTTTCATTGCTTCAGTCCAGTTTTTAATGGTTATGTATCAGGTTGTCACTTTTCACAGCAGTTTTATTTTCCCTGGGGCAAACTCGTCCCTACAG